TTCTGACCGTTTGAGCAGCCACATGCACATTTGTGGCCCGCTGGAGGTCATTTTGCAGGGTTCTGGCAGTGCTCCTCCTGTCCCTCCTTACACAAAGGTGGAGGTAGTGGTCCTGATGCTGGGTTGTTGCCCTCCTATGGCCTCCTCCACGTCTCCTGATGTACTGGCCTGTCTCCTGGTAGCGCCTCCATGCTCTGGACACTACACTGACAGACACAGCAAACCTTCTTGCCACAGCTCGTATTGATGTGCCATCCTGGATGAGCTGCACTACCTGAGCCACTTGTGTGGGTTGTAGACTCAGTCTTATGCTACCACTAGAGTGAAAGCACTGCCAGCATTCAAGTGACCAAACCATCAGCCAGAAAGCATAGGAACTGAGAAGTGGTCTGTGGTCACCACCTGCAGAACCACTCCTTTATTGGGGGTGTCTTGCTAACTGCCTATGCTTTTCACCTGTTGTCTATTCCATTTGCACAACAGTATGTGAAATTGATTGTCAATCAGTGTTGCTACCTAAGTGGACAGTTTGATTTCACAAAAGTGTGATTGACTTGGAGTTACATTGTGTTGTTTAAGTGTTCCCTTTATTTTTTTTGAGCAGTGTATCTTTATGGGAGACAATTTGAACTAGTCACAGACCACAAATCACTCCTAGGCATCATAGCAGAAAGCAAACCAACACCAAACATATTATCCCCCAGAATGACAAGATGGACTGTTTTCTTAGCTGCATATAACTATTGCCTTATACATTGACCGGGCAACACCATAACTCATGGAGATGCACTCAGCCGTTGCCCCCTTCCAGAACCTGTTGAAGACCCAGCTCCAGCCACATCCATACTCCTCATTGAAGACATTGTCACCGGCCCTATCCCAGCATCAGAGATAGCCAAACAATCAGCCAAAGACAAAACTCTGGCATGTATTTTAAACTGGGTGTTGAGAGGATGGCCAGAAGAAGAAGTGGAAGGTGACTTTAAACGGTTTAAAATCTAGCAAAATGAACTGTCTGTAATTAAAGAGTGTTTGTTGTGGGAGGATAGAGTTGTGATACCTGGGAAGCTGAGAGAACAAGTCTTAAGAATGTTGTATGAGGGCCACCCACGGATAGTAAGAATGAAAGCATTAGCCAGAAGTTATACTTGGTGGCTGGGAATGGATAAGGAAATTGAAAAATGGGTTGCAGCTTGTACGCCTTGTCAGGAATCCAGACCTGCACCCGCTTCAGCACCAACCCTAGAATGGGAATCACCAAAAGCACCTTGGTCTAGAATACATATAGACCTGGCAGGGCCAATGCAAGGGCAAACATTTCTAATAACCATTGATGCATATTCAAAGTGGGTGGAAGTAACAATAATGAAAACCACCACAGCAGATGCCATGATTAAGATATTGAGGAAATTGTTTGCCATACATGGATTGCCAGATGTTGTAGTATCAGATAATGGGTCCCAATTCACAGCAAACAATTTTGAATGCTTTCTAGCTGAACCGGGAATCCGCCATACATTATCAGCACCTGGACACAACCAGAATAATGGGCGGGCAGAGAGAGCCATAAGGTCCACGAAGGAAACCTTAGCAAAAATAGGACCAGGGGATTGGCAAATGAAAATAGACAAATTCTTAATGAAACAACTTATCACATTCTCAGCTGCCACACATAGAAGTCCAGCAGAATTTTTAATGGGGCGGAAGTTAAGATCAGAGCTAGACAGATTACACCCATACTACAATCCAAGCACACCCACAGATTCAGCGAGTAAATGTAGATATTTGAACACAGGCCAATTGGTCTATGCTCACAACTATGCAGGGGGCAGGGGGGGCATGGATCCCTGCACGAGTAGTGGAAGTCACAGGCCCCCGATCTTATAGAGTAGAACTAGAAGATGGGAAAATATGGAGCAGACACATAGATCAACTCCGGGGATGATTGGACCAGGATCAGAATGACCAGAAAGCCTCAGAGACAGAAACCCAACACAGAGTGGAAAGACTAACCCTGACAACTAAAAATACTGAAAACACAAGCCTTCCCCACTTTAGGACGGAACTCAAACTCGAGTATACCACAGGATAACTTAGCTGGGGAGGGGGGGAAATCCAGCAAAGAAACTCAGAGCCCTCTGTTTCGTTGGAGCCAGCCCCGCCCTGAAAAACCTTGAGGCAGTTCAAAAGGGCTGGCTCTGGAGTGACAACAGACCCAACTAGTCAGGTTGCCACCGCTGGTGAGGCTGAAGTGCGAAGGTCCAGTCACACACACAGGAGTCCCGCCTACGTGATTATGTTCTGTGAGTAAGAGCTGATTGGATGAATGCTTCTTCCAGGAGGGGAGGAGTGTTAGATATTCAATGGGGAAAAGTCCGTGATGTCAGACTTCCCCCATTGGTTCATTTTCCAGGCGGGAAAATGAACAGCCGTCAGTGGCTAAAGTTGTGGACAGTAGCCTGTAAAAAGAACAGCAGGCACACCTGGCGGCAGTCTTTACTCAGAGCAGAATAAAGAGATCTTTTCCCTCTCCCCGTTGTCCTGCTGCTTCAATCTAGCCCATATCTAACAGTTTGATGTAGAGGTTAAGGTGTTAAACGGCCTAGAAACCAGGATACTATGAGTTGTAGTTCCTGCCTTATACATGAAAAAGTAGCTGGGAGAGACACACTCTTTTAGCCCAACTAAGAGGAGGAAGGAATATTGGTACGTTCAACACTTGAGCAGTGTATGTGTATATGTGTAAAAAGGCTTCAGCCACATATTATGTTAGAGATGAAATCAGGTGAAAATAATAGGTAAGTCAGAGAGGGCTGTCTCAGGCCCAAGGAAGGAGAAGAAATCACAGTCTCCCGCTTTCTAGCCTGGTTCCTTAACTCACACCAAATTTGATACTAACTTGAACATGTCTCTTACCTCTAGTCTGCCAACATTCTGTTCTAAAGAGTAGGATGCAGTGGCAGTGTGTAATTGCTTTTTGGAATTCTGTATTTTGAGCACAATCTTGTTTCTCCTGTATGAAATACTGATGTATACCTATATAATGCACTGCAAAGACCCACTGAATTCCTGGATATTCCTGAAGTTGACTTTAAAGATTCCATGTGAAATGGACTGATTACAGGGTCAGGTTGATCCTCAGTCCAAACTAGAGACTGTTCTCGCTTCACAAGTCAACGGGCTTTTCCTGTTTTCCCAGATATTTGATGCCTTTATGTCTTGCTCTCCCTTTTCCCACATTCTCTCCCCTTTGGCAGTAGATTATTTGGGAGGTGGGGGAGCTTTGAGTCAGTGATGATCTCTGGTGACCCCTTAGAGAACTCCCTGAGGTTTTCTTATCAAGATTTAAGAAATGCCTCTTTTGCCATTGCTTCTTTCCTGGGGCTGAGAGAGACAGACTAGCTCAAGGTCACCCGTCTAGCATCGTGCCCAAGGTAGAACTCATGATCTCCTGCTTTCTAGCCCGGTTCCTTAACTATTACACCAAAATGGTTCTCATGAAACTTGATGCTAAGATGGGCTCTTTTTTTCCCTTTATGGCACTCATTGTTCTGATGAGTAGCCCAGGTGATAGATTACAGGCCAGGAGGAATGTGAACTGGGGTGAAGTTCTGGTTGGCATCACTCTTGATAAGGGTCCAGGAGCAAACTGGGGATGATACGTAGGAATTTCATGTGGACAAAATGAAAGAAGCGGTTACTAAAGCATCTCTGTGTTTTGGCCTTTTGAGGCAGTCTGAACTCCAGAGTTTCCCATAATCATTATGTTTTTCTTTGAGATATGTCTCATATTTAAAAGCATCTGCTGATTTAAGAGTTTAATCCAATACATAAACAGGATCGGGTTGCCATAGAAAAAGATAGCTTTCATAATTATTATTATGTATTCTAAATGGTCTGTGATTAGTGTGTGCATGTGTATGTGTGTGTGTAGCATATGTATAAATATGTGCATGTATGGGTATATATTTTTTCTTTTGAGAGAGGGCATCAGAATTTCATTTTTTAATGTGTGTCAGTATGTTTACCAAAAAAAGTAGTCTTGTTCCTACCTTTCCTCTGGTCTTCCATATGTTCCACTCCTCTGGTATGATAGCTCCAGAAATTTCTTTTAAAATGAGATCCAGCTACTTCCCCCAAAACAATCAGTGTTTTATTTTGAGATGATGACAATGCTTCTGTATTGCAAAACTCCAAGAAGTTCTTCCTGTAGTTTAGATACCATACAAACAAACACAAATACTTCCATACTGAGACTTTTAGCTGCTCACTCAGTCCCTTCATTGAGTGAGCGCTAGCAAGGAAAGAAATGGCAACTTTATGGGGTAAAATGTGGTGAATGCTCTGATAAATCCAGATAAAGTAGATTTGTTTCAAAGAAAGGCAGGTTATTAAGGGAAAGGAAAAAGTAGAGAACCACAGAGCTAGGAAACATGAAAAAGGATTTCAAAATATTTGGGGACAATAAACACATATGAACTTGACACTGTCATAGACACTCCCATAAAAAAAGTTTCCCATTGGGAAAGTGACTGTTGAAGTGTTTTGAATTACCCAAGGCGCAAAGCAAAACTAATTGTGCAATTTTACTGTACAGTTCAAGTGTGGAATTATCTCCTAAATTAAGCATATAATCTCTCTTTTGAACTCACCAGTATTTGCTCTAGCAGCCATTTCAATTATGACAAACTTTAACGTGCTGAGAATATCATTTTGCAGCATTCAGCTGTTCTATGAAATAAAATAAGTTTACATTCGTTTACTGTAATGATATTTTATATCAATCAACCCTCCCGTTGTCTTCCAGTTTCTTTGAGCTTGTGACGCCTGTTCGAGACAGTTCCGTGTCTCTTTACTGCCATCTAGTGCCTGCCCATTGTTTTTGCAGGCTAGGTCGGGGAGTGCTACGGGAAACCAGCTGGGCCCCGGACCCGGTTGCCATAGCGACGCCTTCGGGTTCCGGGCGCTTCCGCTGTGCGCTTGTTCTTTCCGGTCCTTCTGCCAGCGAGCGGAAAGGAGTCGCGCTGCCGGAAGGGATAAGGAGCCGCGGTCAAGCGTTAATCTCGTTCTTTGGGTGAGAGATGCGGGGCGGTGGGGGGCGATGATTCGGGGAGGCGGGGTTGGTTTGCAAGAGAAACGATGTAGCCCCCTGCCTTCCTCCCCTTCCTGTCATGGTCGTGTTGCCCCCGTTCCCTAATTTGGAGGGAAGCAGCAGCTCACTCCAGGGACAGCTGGTGGAGTCTGGCATGAGCAAAGTACTGCCTGGCTCATGTACGTTAAGTAAGCTTGACCATCGGATATGGCTGACGGGGCTTCTCCCAAGCAAATCTTGTGCGATGTGAGGTGGCGGGGCGGGGGTGGGGGGACACTTTAGTGATCCTTAAGTCCATCATAGAAAACAAAACCATTTGGGAACGTTTTCACCCATGTAGTTTAAAGGAAACTTGCCCTGAAATGGGGTAGTGGTGTGAGCCTGTGCTTCTGATTTATAATTATGTAGTATAACAGCAAAAGCGTCTAAAAACGTACTGTCACAACGTTTCGGCAGAATTTCATCTGCCATCAGGCTTCATCAGGCTTCTGTATTGTGTTCATCTGTGAGTCAGACTTTCACACATATATATAAAATGATAGACGGGTATAACGTAGAATGTATGTATGTATGTATGCATGTATGTATATATATGTGTGTGTGTGTGTGTGTGTGTGTGTATGTATATGTATATGTATATGATGTATATATTAATTATATGTGTGTGTGTGTGTCATTTAATTTAAATGATGTCATTTTTATATATACATATGCATATACATATATAGTACAGATATGGATATACAATAAAATAGTTCACGACCTATTATTACAGTTGAGCCCAAATTTATGTTGCTAAGCTAGGCAGTTGTTAAATGAGCTTTGCTCACTTTTTGTGAGTTTTGCTCCATTTTACAACCTCTTTGGCCACAGCTGTTAAGTGAATCGTTAGTTTCTTAAGTGAATCATGCAGTTGTTAAGTGAATCTGGCTTCCCCACTTGACTTTTCTTGTTGGAAGCTGTCTGGGAAGGTTACAAGTGGTGATTATGGGACCCCAAATTTTTATCACGTGACTGGGGAATTCTGCAACGGTTGTGTGGAAAACAGTCATGTCACTTTTTTCATTGCCACTGAAATTTCAAACAGCCATGAAATGAATATGTCAAGGATATGTGTGTGTGTATGTATGTATGTATGTATGTATGTATGTATGTATGTATGTATGTAT